TCCATGTAAGTATAAAATGTGGACTTAAGTGTTGTTCCAAAGCCATTGATCTGAGTACTAAAATATTAGTCATGCAAAGCATTCCTCACTCTCCCCACCTGGTATCCAAAAATATTTTGAAATAAAGGTAGAGGAACTTCATTCCTCTGACCCTGATCTTTGCCCTTTCACAGCGGGAAGTAGCTAGAGAGGTCTTCACCCCCATTCTCTGAGATTGAGGAATGATCACAAAACAGTGGGGACTGAAACCAAGGATGAAGGAGTTAAAATTTCCCTAGATTAGGGTGAAACCCTGCCTGTACCCACAAGGTTGATATGGGAAACAAAGTAACCAAAGTTGAACAGCAACAGGACCGCTGATAAGAGAGAAGCTTGCTGACAGCCTGCCGCCTGACTAAGCATCACACAGGAGCACTGAGAAGCTAAAATGACCAATTGTAAACTTTAGGTGTCCCAGACTAAAAATCTGCATGCAACATATAGAACCCCCCCGCATGTGCACATGTAACCCACGAAGAAATATGAAGGACAGTTGCACCTGTATGGAGGAATCTTGGAACTTCAGCCCCCAAGACCAAATGCTCCCCCTCCCCTACGTAAAACCCAGAATAAAAACCCTCACTTGTAGCTTTTCTGAGAGTTTGCGATTACAGCTAACACTATAATCCCAAACCTTCTCCTTGCTCAGTGCTTTGCAATAAAATTCCTACTTTCCTCCACTACACTGGTATCAGAGATTGGCTTGCTGCGTGACAGGTGAGCAAACCCACTACAGGTTTGGCAACACTGCGGGACCCCGGGCATGGCCATACTTGGTCATCTACTCTGTGCCCACCCCAGCTCAGGTGACCTCACGCAGAGCCCCAGGCAGGTAGAGCCCTGTATTCTGTCGCTGGTGCTCAGGAGCCTTTGCTGGTCTGCAGTGCTGTCCAGACCCTCACTGAGCCAGGAGAGCAGCAGAGAGAGACGAGAGAGAGACAGAGACACAGAGACAGAGAGATCAAAGCTGACCAGAGAAGGAGAGAGGCTGTGGAGTCAGACAGGCGTGAGGGGAGCTGAGCCAGCACCACCCACACAGCTTTGCTCAAGGCCTGGAGCACCAACCCAGCCTCCCATGGGGGGCAGTCAGTGCAGGGGGTCCCCAGGGCAGAGCTGGGCCAGTGATATGAGGATGCATGGCATGTACTTTGTGGTCCTGACTTCTGCAGCATCTCTCCTGAGGTCCTGTCCCTGTTGGTTTCCACAAGACAGCAGACTGAACACAGATGCTTTTTTGTAGGGGGCACCTCTTGGCAGAAGTGGGGCACGCTCCAAAGTCCCCAGAAGGGGTGCACCTTGTGCCCCCACCTGGCTCACTGGCAGTTGTACATCTTGGAGGCTTTGCCCCCTTGGTCCAGAGAGGTGGCTGCTGCTGCTGGGGTCCCACCCACCCCTGGTCAGGCACAGCCCCCAGCAGGACTCTGGCCTCCCCTGGGGCTCCTGTGGCTGCATGTCCACCTTGCAGGCCCCTCGGAGATGCTCTGCTGACTGGTCAGTGAGAGACGATTATTGTGTTGTCAGTGATGTGAGACTGACAAGCCTGGTGACATTTCTGATGGCTTAAGGGAAACCAAAACTTGGCCCTGCTCTGCCACGGAGGAGCCAAGCCCTGGAATGCTGGTCTGTCCATCCCACCCCAGCCAGGAGCAGGGAGGGCAGAGGGCCCAAGGCCCTGTCTTCCAGTCACCCGCTCCAGCAGGCAGCCAGGCCGAGGGGATCACTGTTCAGCCTCTCCTGCTGTGCCCCTGGGCACCCTGGCTGATTGGCTCTGGCACTGCCTTCTTTGGGTACCGTTGGCCCTCTGAGGGCAAGAAGCCTGGCCTCTCCTCACATCTCCCATAAATGCCAGGGTCCATACGGGCTGACAGAACTGAACATCCCCAGGCTTCCTTGGCCTCAAGCTCCATTTCACACCCCTGGGAACACAGAAGCCGGGCCGGGGCCTGACCGTGACCGGGCAGCAGGGGTCCCGGGGCCCCACATCAGTCTGGCGTACTGGCCTGGGGCACGGGCCCTGAGCCCAGAGTTGGGAAACAGAAACTGGTCTCCTCACGCCCTGAGGCAGCCTCAGGCCTCCCCCCGTCCTCACTCAACCATACTGAAAAGTCCGATCGCCCAGGTTCTCGGTCAGCGTAGGAGAGGAATTCAGACAGCGACACAAGGGCAACAGCAAGCAAGCAAAGCTTTATTAGAGGAAAGGTCAGACACACTCCAAGTCAGGAGCGGGCAGTGCCAGAGAGCGCATCTGCCCCAAGTCTCGAGTTAGTTTTATTTTTATTTGGGCTGGTTTGAGGGAATTAGCATTATCTGGTTATCTGCCAATAACGGTCTTTCCTCCACCCACACGTCGGGAGGGGAGTTCTTGACCTTTTAGGGAAGTCATTCCCCGAGGAAGGGGGCTAATGCACATGGAATTCGTATGTAAATTAAAGAAAAGACCAATGTCCTCCGGAAGTGTAGAGCAGAAGGCTTTGCTTTACGCACTATTTTTATCACGGTGGTCGAAGGTCTCAGACTCAGGCGCTATCTGTATCTCGAGGGACGCCAGCAAGGCGCTTCCTTGATGTAGCGAGGTCTCCAGCTTCGATTCCCCCACTCTTGTCTGGATGCCAGTAAGATGCTCCACTGATGTAGCAAGGTCTCCAGCTATGATCCCGCCCTCATGTCTACCTAGCGACCTATCTCACTCACAGCGTCGCCCTTGACCTCAGAGGGACTTCTGACCCCTGCCCCACCCCTCCCTTAATCCCAGGCCACTGCCCGCTTCTGCCTCCTCTCCTTGTGCCCCTGGTCACCACCCCCACCAGTTCTCCTCCGTACCTGACCAGCAGCCCTGGCCTGGGCCGCTGGGTCCTCCTCCACGCTTACTTCAGGCTGCTGAGCCGACCGGTGACGGAGACATGGGCCCAAGCCTGTGCTGCACCCTCAAATGACAGGATCCCGAGAACAGTGGGCTCTTGGTGCTGCCCCTGACGCCTTTCGTCCATCTCTGGGTGCCCCCAATCCCACCGCCCAGAATCCTACCCCAGGACACCTGCCCGCAGCCCAGAGCCCCTCCTGGGGCTATACTCTGTTCTCTGCCCCGTCCCAGACCCCGCTCCCTGGGCAGACTCCCACCAGACCTGGCTGCAGCAGCACCTGCCCCAGCTCCCTCCTGGGACAAGAGGCTCCCGTCCCTGTGAATTCCCCCAGCAACTAGCCCCCCACACCCACATTAGCCCACTAAAGTCCACCCACTGAAACGGGCACCTTGACCTTCACCCTTGCGGCCCTCTCCTTCGCTAAGGGGACCACCTCCTTGAAAGAGGAGGGGTCTCCACTTTCCCTATTCTTCCATCAATCCTTCAACAAACGTTGATGGAGCGACTCCTGCGTGCCCAGCACTGGGCAGCCCCTGGAGACCCAGCGAGAGGAGCAGACAGACCTGCGACCACGCATCTGGGGGAGGAGAGTGATGTTCTTCCGAAGCCCCCCAGAGAACCTGCAGAGACGGGGGCTGTGAGGAGTGCCCCCCTGGGGAGTGAGGCTTGAGCTGACAGGGTGGGGGAATGATGCGGCAGAGGAAGAGCAGGAGCCAAGTGGAGGCCTGCGTCAGGGCAGGGCCGGGCCAGGGCAGGGGTGGGGAAGGCAGAAAGGCCAGTCAGCCTTCAGGCAAGCCAGGGTGCTGGGGAAGGCACAGAGAGGGTGGGTGGGATCTAGGGTGGGGCTGGGAGGTGTCAGGATGCCTCCTGCCTCCTGGGTGCACCATGGCGCTGGCAGTAGGCAGAGCGTGCTGGAAGAGGGTGCGACTTGGGGGATGGGCACACATGGACCTTGGACCCGCTGGCTGTGCGGGGTAGATGGGTACCCTCCACCCTGTCCCTAACCGGTCCCTGAGTCCCATAGATCTTGGCTAAACAGTTCTCAGACCAGCCTCCCCACTCACCTCAGCTGGCCCCTTCCTGGGCCATATCATCTCTGCCATGCATGTCCCTGGTCCCCACGCCCGCCTGCCCCACAACGCTCCAGAAAACTTCATCTACTCCTCACACACCTGTAGCTCCCTGGCCCCTCTGCTCTCAGGTGAGGCCAATTCCTCCTGCCACATACGGGGTCCTACCTGCCCACTTCCTGGCCCCTGGAGCCCAAGCCCACGTACCAGCCCAGGAAACGGCCTGGCCTCCTGCAGTGTTTTCTGCTGGGCACGCTGCCCATCCTATCCTTCTGGAAATCACCACTTCAACCCGAGAACACCCCCCTCCTGCCCTCTCCCTCTACAGGCTAGTAATTTACTTGTCTTCCGCCTCCCCTGCCCCCACCTAGTCGTGAGCTCCTGGAGGGCGGGGCTGGCGCCTCCAAATCACCAGCGCCCAGCTCGGGGCTGGCACCCAGGGGGCACCCACGGGAGGATAGGTGAGCGGAGACCACAGCGAGTGGGAGCTAGGCAGACCCCCGGGAAATGGGAGGAGGACCACTTGGGTTTGGCCCCCTACCCAGGTACCCGGCTGGGGGCTTGGAGTGGGTGGACCCAAGCCCTGAATTTCTAGTAGCACCTCCATGGGAGGAACTCTGCTGCACTAGCGGCTGGGGCGGCGCGCGGGTGGGGTGACACAGAGCACATGCATGGGGGCAGGCGCGCCTGGGGGCGGGCTCGGTGCCGGCTGCGCGGGAAGCACGTGGGGGCGGGCAGAGTACACGTGAGGGGGCGGGGCTGGCAGTCGCGCAAGCGTGGGGCGGGGCGCGCATGGGGCAGGGTAGAGCGCATGCGTGGGGCGGGCACGCGTGGGCGCGGGGAGCACGCGGGGAGATGCAGACTGCATGCGTGGGGCGGGGCGCGCCTTGTGGGGGCGGGCCAGGTGCTGGCGGGGTGGGAAGCACGTGGGGCGTGTAGGGCGCACGTGAGGGGGCGGGACGCGCACGCGTGGGGCAGGGCGCACGTGGGGGTCCTAGGCTTTGTTTCCAGCCCTAGCAGCTGTGCGCTCATGGCGTCCGTGGGTTCTGAGCAGGATAGTGGGGTTCTCCGAGTCCTCGCCCCCGGGGAATGCAGGTGAGGAGTTGGGGGGCCCTGGAGGGAGTCAGGTGGAAGGCTTCTGCCCAAAGGTGCATGGAATGTCTACGGCCCGATGGTTACGCCCAATTCAAATGGACTGAGTCGCCGGTCCCCACCTTTGCATGGCCCACCTGGGGCAGAGCTCCTAACCCCCAAACCTGGAGTGGGAGGAAGGGTGCCAGGAGGGAGGGCCCGGGCTGTGTTCCTGGGCGACCTAGGCCCTGTCCTGCACCCACTCTCCAAGGACGTCCGTTTCCGCATCTGGGCTCCAGAGGCTTTTCTGGGGTTCATGCATCACCCAGCCCTTGACTCCGTTGTCTGCAGCGGCTCTTCCTTGTCCGGCGCCCAGTGCTTCGAGGACCCCGGCCAGGGCTCAGGCCCGGTCAGGGCCCCTGTGGTGGCCGAGGGTCCCAGCTCCTGCCTCCCGCGGAATGTGCTCAGCGAGAGGGAGCGCAGGTGGGCGCCCGTGCGGTGGGGGCAAGGGAGGCTTGTAAAGGAGTGGGGGGCGCTGGAAGAGACAGATTTGTGGCTGCGACCAGGTTTTCAGACAGCTGGGACAGGCTTGTGGTGTTTGTCCAATAAAGGGACAGTGAGCACGTCTCCAAGATAAACAAGAAAAGCCGTAGAGGGGTTCCCGGGGATCACCATTGCAGCCCCCTATTTGCCCTGAAGCCCTAGGCATCTTGAGGTTATGTGTTTGGGACCCCTAGATCCCAGACTTTGTCTGGGACTCTCCCCTCCCCACCTCCTGGAGCAGGCCTGGGCTGCCTGTGGCTGGTGGCAAACATCTGGATAGCCTGTGGCCGGAGTCTAGGGCTCAGGGCCAATCTGCACTGACATGGATCCCTGAAGGGCTCAGACCCCATGGAGAGCTAATTCGTAGCCTTGGCCTGTGGTCATTTTACCTGAGAAGCTCCCGAGGCTGCTGTGAGGGAGATTCTGGTGGCTGCAGTCCTTTTTCCTGGCCAGCCTGCCTCACTGCCGTTTGTCACCTCCTGGAAGCAGGAAGCGGATCTCCATGAGCTGTGAGCACCTGCGGGCCCTGCTGCCCCGGTTCGACGGCCGGCGGGAGGACATGGCCTCGGTCCTGGAGATGTCCGTGCAGTTCCTCCGGCTTGCCAGCGCCCTGGTGCCCAGCCGAGAGCAGCACACTGTGAGTTGTACGTGGGCCACCTGGTCAGCCCCGCAGAGGAGCAGCTATGGGGCATCCCCCCCCACCCCCCGCCATCCCTCCACTTCCCTTGCCCTGCACGGCCAGGGCTGGCTGTGTTTTCGACAGGCTCTTTTCTCTCTCTCTACATTCTCCCCGCGCGCTGCCTCTGGGGGTGATGCCCGTGCCCCTGGAGACAGCTTTGGCCTCTAGTTATGTCACTTGTATGCCCGCCCACGGTGCCGAGGCCAGCAAGAGGTAAAAGTCCTGTGGCTGTGAGGTCCTTGGATGGGCAGCCTTTGTCCCTCTCCCCCCTAGTCCTGAGGACCAGGGTCTGCAGTCAAGGTGGACCTCTGGGACCCTGGGCAGGGCAGCCAGTGACAGACCACAGCCCACTTTTCCTGTGGGTTTCCTGGATGACCATCGTCGTTTTTCATGTTTATGTTTAGTTTGTTCCTCCTGCCAAGGAGATGTGGCACAAGTGGCAGAAAGATGTTTTGCAGCTGGTCCTGGCGAGTCAGATCCCAGCAGGTGCACCAGACCCCGGCACAGGAGCATCTGGCGTGACCATGTTAGTGTCCCTTTCAGGGCCAGGGGACCCGTGGGGGCAGTGGACACACACTGCTTAGAGCCCCTCACCTTTTGTCTTTGTACTGTCCAGGCAACAGGACTCCCCAAGCTGTGCGACTGAGGGTGTGGATGAGGGCGAGGTCCCATCGGGGGTGGCCGAGGTGCTGGATGGGCCGCTGGCTCTCCTTGGTAAGTGTGAATGGGTACCGGGACCGTCGTGGGTGACATCCCTGTCCAGAGACAAGGTGGGTGAGCCCCAAAGGATGAATTCTGACCCTGAGGATGGCGGGGTCTATTCCCGAATAGGGGTTGGACGTTTAGTGTTGATTTTCTCACGGTGACAAAGCCATGTGTTGGGGTGAACCTCAGGGACCCCACGCTGTCCTCAGCTCTCATATGAAACAGGACGACGGGTCCCATGAGGGGCAGATGTGTGGGCCGAGGTGGCTGCGAGTCGTTGGCCACTCTGGGGCTGCTCTCTCTCTCTCGTGTCCCCTGCCAGGGTCTCCGTCTGCCAGGGAATGGGGTCCATGCTAGCCAATCTCCTAGGCCACTCCTCTTCCCCGAGGACAGGTCCCCACCCGCTCTTTCACCCTGGGTCTCTAGGGGTCCCTGGGTCCCCCAGGAAGTGTGGGAACATAGAGGGACTTGCCCCGTCCTTGTTCCCCCTGCCAGCTGCTGCTGTATCCGGCTCCCAGGAGCAGCCCCCGCCCTGCAGCAGCCCTGCTCCCTGTCCCTTTGTGGGGCCAGAGGTCTGGCCCCCCTGCCCCATTCCGCTTCTCTGTTCTGTGATCGAGTGAGTCACGGGCCTCACGGCCGTTCCTTCCCCTGCTCGGGGCCTTGGTTCTCTGATGCCGCCCCTAGCTGAGCCACAGGCGCCTGTGATGAGTGTCCCCCCTTCACGCTGGATACCCCGCCCTGGCTTTGTGTCAGTCTTTGGACTGTGGCTGCTGGTGATGGTGTCTAAGCCACCCGTATGTGTTTGCCACATGCCATAGGCCCCAAGCGCCGTGGCAGGCAAGACCGTGCCCACCGAGGAGGGGAGGGGTCTCACTGTCAATGGGGCTGGCAGTGGAGCTGGGGCCACCAGGAAATTTTGGGACCCCCATGCAAGGCATGAGGGTCACACAGCAGAGAGCTAGGTCTGCGGGTGGAGCCCAAGGTCAGGGACTGTGGGTAGAGGCGGGGGAGGCAAGAGTGTCCCCAGGTCTGAGCCCCACGTAGTTGACCTGAGGCTGAGTGGGCACCTCCTCCAGGAAGCTTCCCTGGTTTTAGGTATGAGGTGCCTCTTCTCTCAGCGTTCATCTTCTCTTGGGTGCCTGTATGCCTCCTACTTCTGAGCCCCGCGTGTCCCCGTGCAGGGCGCAACGGGCAGGGGCTGAGATCTTCAGGGGAGGGCCGCTCTCTGGTGGGGGAAGGCTGACCCATGCTTCACTTGTCTCCTAGAGTCTCCCAGCCTGGTGCCCCGGCCCACAGGCCCAAGTCCCTCCAAGGCCTTGAGGCCACCACCACTCTGGCCTCGAGGGGATGAGGCTCAGACCTGCCTGGGCCAGGCTGGGCCTCCAGCTGAGGGGGCCAACATGGCCATGACACCAGACGCCAGGTGGGTGCCCCGGTGGGCGTGTGCATGTGTGTGCCTGGTGTGCATGAGCCGTCACACGTCTCCTTCCAACCCTGCCTGGACCTGCCCGTCTGGGAAGTGTGTGTTCCTTCCTGCCTTAGTGTCTGTGTGTGGACAGCTGAGGCCGCCAGCCCAGGCCCGGCTCAGCCAGACTCTGTCGTGTGGCTTCCTAATGTGTGTTTCTGAAAACACTTAGTCTTCCTAATTGTCCTCTGTTTTGGCTGATAGTAAATGAGTTTGCGTTTTGTGAGCCCGCACCAGCTGGGGTGTGGGCAGGGCGCGTGGTGTTGGCTGGAGAGGAACCAGCAGAGCCACAGCAGATGGCCAGTCTGCGCTCGGCGGGCAGGCTCGGCACTCTCCAGATCCATTGATGCAGCTGAGCGGGCCTGGGGCGGGCGGGAGGTAGCACCCCGTTTGTCTCTGATCGTGAAACCGCGTTTCAGGGCCCCCACCTTTCTCTTGAGGTAGGAGGACCGGGGTCCGCTTGGGCCCACTCAGGGTGGGGTCTTCTTGCCCCATCCAGATCCGTGTCGAGATGTGATGTGGAAGACCGGACGTCCTTCCTGCTGACTGCCAGTCCCGACTGGTGGCTGGGTGAGTGGGGGACGCTCGGTGGAGGCCACCCACGCCCTGGTCGGGGCCAGCTTTGGGGGCTCAGCCAAGCCCCATGCGGGCTGGGCAGGCAGCTGGGATTGTTGCCTAGGCCCAGTTTGCTGTGTGACACCAGGGTCCTAGTGTCTGTGTCTGAGCTCCTTTGTCCTCCTGTGTGGGTGGTGGTCGGGACTACTGGCAAGGGGAACGAAAGGGAACGTGTGTGTGTGCCTGAGTGAGAGCGTGTGAGTGTACGGTGTGGGGGCTGGTTGTGTGGTGTGTGAGTCAAGAGTCGGTGCCCGTTCTCTCGACTGTGTCCCCCAAAGGCTCCTGGATGTGTGATGAGTCGAGTGTTTCTAGGATTTAGCATCGGGGGGAGACGTCTTCCTGGTTCTGGCCTGGTGGGTCTCCTGGGTGTCTGGCAGGGCTGGTGGGTGTGGGCCCCCCACCTGGTCATCTCACACATGAGCCAGGGGCTTCTGAGTCGGGCGGGACAGATGGACAGAGGTGGGCCCTCTTGTGCACACTGAGCCCACTCTGCACGCCCCGGGCACCGGGGTACCTGCCCGCCCTGCTGACATGTCCCGTCTGCTTCCAGGGTCCCTGGAGGGCAGAGGCGGCAGTGCGCCGGCCAGGAGCACCCCATCGGACAGGGCAGAGCTGAGCTTCCTCGTGGACCCCGAGCCCGGCTCCCAGGAGCTCTCGGATGGCCCCCTAGAGCCGTGGGGCTCAGACGTGGGTGGCCCCGGCCTGGCCCTGCGGGACGAGGTGGACAGCCTCTTCCCTGAGTTTTTTACCTACTAGGCGGCTGGGGGCCTGCCAGGCCGCAGGGAGGGGTGCTCGGGGGCTTGTGTGGACGCTCGGGCATTTTATTGTTTTGGGTTTAGGTTGCAGCTGTGCCGATCCGGGGCTGGCAGGGCTGCTGTGAGTGGAGGCTGCATATTAAAGAGAAAGCGATTTTCCTGGAGGAGAGAGGACTTGTGTGTAGTTGACGTGATTCACTGGGCAGATGGCGCCACTTCCGTTCAGGCTGCAGGCACCTGCCTGGGGTTTTGCTTCTGTGACATTCTGGCCCTCGTGGGATCCCTAAATAACGGGGCCTCGGGGTGGTGGGGTGCCGGGGTGTGTCATAGACTGAGAGTTCTGTGTCCCCTGGGCCCGCTCTCCGGAGAGGTGGTTTGGGGTCCTAGCTCCTCGTGCTCATGAGGCTGGTGTGAGCTGGGGGCCTCGTGGCCCAAAGGGATCTGTCGGGAGGCCCTGGCTAGTGCTCTCTCTCCAGGCCTGGGTGCCTCAAGGGCATTCGCTGCTAGTGGCCCCTGCATTCCCCACACAGGGGGGCGTTGGCCCAGGGCAGAGCCCACCTGGCTTCAGAGTTCTGGAACTCCCTCCCCTCCCCCCGGTGGGCACAGCTCCAGCCCCAGCTGCTCCTGATCCTCAGGCTCCGGGGGAGGGCCGGGTTATGGCAAGGGGTGGCCCAAGCCCCTGTGGACTGTGTTTCAGCCACAGTGGGGTGGGCACCTGTCTCCGACCCAGGCTGACCGCGGGCTCCCCTTGTTCAGTCCCTTGCAGAGACACTGGGCTCCTGGCTCCTAGTGACCCCCCAGTGAGTGCTCTAGGGGTAGAGGGGTCTCTGCCCTCCAGGAGAGGAGGGTCTCCTGCATGTGGGCTCAGAGCCCCCTGCTACCCGCCCGCCCCACACCTCCACGCACCTCCACCCCCGTGGCCAGAATGTTCTGTTCGTTCTCTGGCTGAGACTGCAGGAAAGGTGGGAGCAGCCGTGGGCAGGAGGCGGAGCAGAGCCAGTGGCATCAGGAACCCTGCCCTGAGGGAACTGGAGAGGACCTGGGAGGAGCCCGGGGGAGGTCCAGGTGGGTGCCCTGGGCCACCATCCTCAGGACCCGCATGTTCTCCCCTCCCCGTGGGCTTCTTGAAGACCCTGAGCAGAGCCGGGGTGTGTCTGAGGGAGTGCTGCCTTCAGGCCTGGGGCTGAACAGAGCCGTGGTCAGCGGGCTGCAGCCCTGTTCCAGGAGCCCTGTCTGTGGAAGGGCCTCCACGGGCCTGGCTGCCCAGGTTCCAGAAACATTCCAGACCCTGAGAATGTGAGTGTGCAGGCGGGCTCTGGGGTCCATCCTTACTGTTCTGGTTCCTCAGTGGTTGTCAAGTCATACAGCCTCATTTCACGAGTGTCCCCTAAAAGACCACGTGTGCATCTGTTCATGTGTGCGCGTGCCTGTGTTTGTGCCCGCCTGTGGATTGGTGTGCATGTATGCAGGCCAGTGTCTCTCCTCGGCAGATTGGGACTCTGCAGATCTTCGGGGTCTTAGCTCACCGGCCCCCACGTGCAGCCCCCAACTCTGCCCTGTGTCCCCTGCCGGGTGGAGACGATGAGTTCGTCTCCTGTTGCTGGTCCAGCGGGAGGTGGCTGAGCACAGGCTGTGGGTGTTCCCTGTGGGCACTGCGGTGGGGCTGAGCGAGCACCCTGCCCTGCCGCACGTGGAGAGCTTCTGGTTCCCCAGCCGGGAGGGGCCCCCAAGGCATTGCCCCCCAGAGCAGCATTGCCCTCCAGGGCAGATTGCTGAGCTGTGTGAGCCCTGCTCTCCCACCTCAGAACAGATGAACAGGCTCTGCCTGGCGCCTCCGCTGGGGCCTGCCGGATGCTCTCTCTGTGGGAGGCCCCCAGGGTCTCTGGCCAGGCTGACCTGGACGAGCCGGGTCCTGAGCTCTGGGCAGCCCACTGTGCCGGCCTCACCCAAGTTCCCTGTGAGGGGGTCAGGAAGATGGGACTCGAGCTTGTTCAGAACTCTGACGGAGGGGCAGATGGGTGGGACCAGTCCTGACCCTCAGGCTCCCCACAGCAAGGTGAGGGACAGGATCCTCCTCAGGAGACAGGGCTCAATCTGTGTTGCCTCGAGCCAGTGTTGAGAAGGATCCCGAGGCCCGGTCAGGCTTGGGGCGAGAGCAGTGGTTGATTAAAGGCCGGCCCCGGGAGTGGAGGAGAGAGTCGGTGGCTTGGAGCTGTAGGGTTCCACTGGCCCGGCCCTGGGGGTCCTGTGGGCCCGACCTGCAGGCCTGAGGCTGTGGACACAGGCTTGTCTCGGTCTCTGCAGCATCCCGAGAGGGCGGGGTTCCCTCCCTGGGGCAGTGAGGGGCTGTGGGCTTCGGCTGTCTCTGGGCCCTCGGCTGTGGCTGTGGCTGCTGCTGGAGCTGGAAGGAGCCATGGGGGTTCAGGGAACAGCTGTCTTCCCACCACCCGCCCCGGCCCTGTTTGAACCGCAGGCCCGCTGTTGTTGGCCTTAACTGCGTTCAGGAGCGAGTCAGAAGCCTTCACGTCAGTGATGACCGGCTTGGTTTTGGGAGTTGGTTGGAGTGGCTTCAGCGTGACCTCCCCCTGAGTTCTCAAGGTGACCCTCTCCCCCCACCAGAAGGGCCTGTTGCCTGGAAGTAGGACATAGTGGGTGCTGTCTGCACAGAGGAGACGGCCCAGCAGGACCCCAGACACCGTCAGGCCACACCCTCACCCTCTCCCCGGTCCACCCAGCCCTCAGCTCAGGACCTTCTTGTGGGGCAGAGTCAATGGCTAGGCCTGGTAGAGATCAGCTGGCTGTGGGTGCAAGCCCCGCCCTCAGTGCAGTTGTTGCTGGAGTCTGGGGTTTCTGAAGCCACTTTTGGAAGCGTGCCTTGGAGCCAGCTTAGCTCTGAAGACAGGACCGGGTCCCTTTGCCGTTAACCCGAGGCCCCCAGCCCTGCCTGCCTAGCACCCTGGGGGGAATTCGAGCTGGGGGAGTAAGCGGTGATGGTCGTGTCCATCACCCCCTTCCAGGCCAGGACTGGGCAAAGTGGCCGTGTCCACGGGCGGTTAGAATTGCTCTGCTGCTGTCTGCTGGTGGGAGGGAGTGTCCCTAGGCTGCAGGCGAAGCAGGGGCCCCAGGATGGGGAGGGGGCATCATCCAGTGGGGAGGTGCCGTGGGCCCCCTGCGGTTCCTGGGGGCTCTGGGGTCCTGGGGTGCAGCACAAGCTCAGAACAGGGACATAGCCTATGAAGGAATCACACAAGGAGTGGATGGTGAGTAACCTGCAAACAGGTCTTGACGTCAACTGGATGTTTATTCAGCCCACGAACTGTCCCAAGAGGCCACCTGGTGCCAGGCCAGGGCACCTGGCCTGGGGCTTGTTTCTCCAGAGTAAACCCAACATCAGGCTGCCTCTTCCCCTCTCCTCCAGGTGCTCTGTTCCCCAGGAGGGGCCAGACCCCAACCGCATCAGACCCCCAGGCAAGGGAACGGGTGGGTGGGGGAGGGACCCACAGGTCCCGTGGCCCCCAGAGGGGACTCAGCTCAGCGTAGTGAGGGTGGAAGTGGAGGCCGGGATGGGGCATGAGGAAAAAAAGCCTCCTGGGGAGAAAGGGAGGGAGTGGGGGCTGGGGGCTCTGGTGAGAGCAGCTTGTGCTGAGATGAAGAGACGAGGGGGAGACAGGGTGCCCCAAGACCAGGACCCGGACAGGCGGGAGAGTAGCCTGGGCACTCACGGGGTGGACCAGGGGTTGGGGCTGCCCAAGGACCAGCGCTGGATGCTGCAAAGAACGTGGAAAGGACAGGCAGCGTGAGGGCTGCCCAGGTGGTCCAGCCAGGGGAAAGGCGCTTTCTGCCACCTTCGGTGAGACAGACAGAGGCCGGTGAGGACGGAGGTCTGGAGCTGTGGGGCCATGCGAGTTGGCGGCAGGGCGATGTGAAGGAGGTCTCAGCACTCTCGGGGGAGAAGGAAGACAGATACAGGTGGCGACACGGGCTTCTGAAGGAGGAGGCGGAGGTGGGGAGGGGGCTCTGGGGGAGCACAGAGGGGAGCCAGGCAGGGTGGGCCCGGTCAGAGCTGCCCTGAGTGCTGAGGTATGGTCTGAGGTGGGACCCAGGGGCTGGGAGCCGTGTCCCAGCCGTAGGGGGCGGGTGGTTCCCTCCTCTGACCAAGGGGCAGTGTGGCGAGCTCCCTCTCATGCAGGGCTGACACAGATGTTGCTGCCGCATGGCAGAGCCCTCCAGGAGAGACCGTCTGGGGGGCCCTCAGCCCCTGGAGAGAGCCCCCTGCCCTGGGACAGGACTGGGCTTGATGCTTAGCCTGAACGTGGCGGCCTTGGGAGAGCAAAGGGGCTCGTCCACTCTGGGCCGGGGGGCTCCCCAAGGCTGGGATCCCGTGGAGAGGGAGTCTGGGGGGCTCAGGCTGGCTGCCTGGGCTCCGGCACGGGGTGGTGGGAGCCCGGGCTGGGCACTGGGTGCAGTGGAGGGCGCTGCAGTCGGGCGCCCGTCACGCTCGGGTGACTTGGGGAGGGATAGTGTTCCCTGCTGCCTGCCCAGCCACCAGCCCCGCCCTCGGGGCCTCAGCCACTGTCCTGTGGGGAGGACTCAAGCACGTGGTCAAAAGGGGCTTCTTGAGCTAAATGCAGCCTGGACTCGGGACGAAGCTGCACAGGCTTAGTTGGCGGACCTGGCCAGAGCTGGTTGTTTCTGCCACAAGACCCTGCTGCCGTCACCACCATGTGGCGAGCCCTGGGACCGCCACTGCCCGCAGCCCCGAGACTGAGGGGCCAGAGTGGCTGTGGGGTCCAGCCTCACCCCCTCTCTGCACCGTCTCCTGTCATCGCCTCTGGACTGCGTCCTAGTGAACTCCTGTCTTCCCTGAACTGTGTGGATACGAGCCCGTGGTAGGCTCAGTCTCACCAGGAGGGTCCCCATCCCCTGTGCCCTGCGGCCCTGGCCCGGGGTTGGGGTGTCAGTGGGCACCTCCTGGCCGCCGTGAGGTCACCAGTCGGGCTCCTGGTCCGGGTGAAGCCCCCCTCCACCAATAAAGCACACTGGGTTGGGGGGGCAATCATTTATTGGGGACACCAGGGAAGGTCTCCAGAAGGGTGGGGGCTGCTTCCCAGGGCGTGGGGTCAGCTGAAGTCTCCTCGGGTCAGCCTTGATTTTCTGGTCCTTTGGGGACAGTGGCAGAGTGCCTGGGAGGTGTCCCTGTGAGTGGGAGGGGCACGCTGGGCTCAGGGCTGGGGGTCAGGGACAGAGGGGCTGATCTGCGGGAGGGGTGGGGGCACTGTCCCCAGAGCCAGGGGCCTGATGCTCCTGCTGCCCTGCGCCGTCCTTGGGGCTAGGGACTGGGGCCGTGTGTTAGCGAGCAGCCTGCTCTCCCACACCCCTCCTCCCACAGACCCCCCCCGAGCCTGCCCACAGGCCCCCTGCTGCCCCAGGCTGCCCGTGTCCGTCCTCCGGGGACTCGATGGGCGTCCCTGTCTTGGGTCCTGCCCGTGGCACTGGCATTTTGAATCTCTCCAAGCCATCAGCTCCACGCTGGCCCGGCTGCTTCCCATGTGTGGAGCAGCACCCGGCCGTTTGCCCCCCGAGGGCCTCCCGTGCCCACCTGCCGCCGCCCCTGCAGGGTCAGAAGTCACCTACCTGGGCCCCACGGCCAGGGCCTACCTACTGGTGGGCGTGGAGACAGCGATCTGTGGAGAGAGGAGCAGAGAGGAGCAAGGTGTGCTGAGCAGGCGTCTGGGCCGAGGCCCTCAGCCTCCTGAGGCTGGCGGTGGGGTGGGCACCTACCAGTCTGGGTCAGGTCAACGATGTTGGTCGAGTGGATCCCATGGGTTTTACAGTATTTTCTAAACATCCACAGGACGTCCGGGCTCACAGTAGGGGTCCGGCCTGTGGACAGAGTGATGGGGCTGTCCCTCTTGCTGGTCATTTGGGACAATGGGCAGTGGGTACTGGGGGCTTGGAGACTGCTCCAGATTTTCAGGGTGCAGGCGTGGTTGTGGGGACAGGCGCTGCTGTGACCAGGGTGGAGAGGTGTGCCAGATGGCCCCAGGCTGCGTCAGTGAGGAGTGAGGGCCCCATAGGGCTCGCTCGACATCGCGGGTGGGGTCCGGCCTCTCCTTGGGTCCCGGTCATCACATCCCCGTGCGTTTATTCCACGCTGGGATAGAGGGCTGGGGCCCAAGGAGAGTCCACGTCCTTGACAAGCTGGCTTAAAGGAGAGCAAACCGATAGACACAGCTGTTTTGGGAAGGGCCGTGACAACAGGTGGGGACACACATGTGAAGATGTGCTCCGGCTGCACGTCCTGTGACCCCAGCCCTGAGAACCGACCCCACAGAGCAGAAGCAAAGAGCTTCGGGGCCAAGGCTGCTGGCGGCTCCCCACGAGGCAGCCCCGGTGCAGTGACCACCTGGCTGGTCAGCAGCCCCCCGAGTCCCCATACATAGACAGCTGGAGTATCGGTGGCGTTCAGTCAGATGCTGGAGACGACATGAGAAGTTGTCCCCACACTCTTAAGTGCTGAGCCAGAACCCAAGGCCTGGGGGCAGCCAGTGGTTCCTGGACATTTGGACCTTGAGGGCCAGTACACACCACCCAGCCAACCCTGCAGTTTTGGGGGCCCAGCACAGGGTTGCCGGCCTGCACATTTACTAAGTCAGGTCATCTTAACAATGCTACCTGCAGCGGGTAGAACTGGGTCCCCCAAAGGGATGTGTCCAAGTCCTTAGCCCCGGAAGCTGGGAAGGGACCTTATTTGGAAACAGTGTCTTTGCAGGTGTGATTAAGTTAAGGTTACTGGGATGAGGAGATCATTCTGGATTCGGGGCTGGTCCTACATCTAAGGACAAATGTCTTTTAAGAAAAAGAGGAAGATCTGAGACACAGAGAAGCCACATGAAGACAGAGGCAGAACGTGGGGTGAAGTGGCCACAGCCCAGGGCTGCCGGGGGCACCAGGAGCTGGGAGGGGCGGGAGGGACCCTCCCCTGGAGGCTCCAGAAGGAGCTGGGAAGGAACCAACCACGGCAGCCACAGCTTGATTCTGACCCTAGCCTCCGGAACCCCTGTGGCCAGCGAAATCCAACCAACAGCCCTTACATTTTTCAGACCCAGTGTGAGGTCGCCAGTCTATACATTTCCTAAATTACAGACATTCTAACAAGCCACCGTGTCCCGACTCTGCCATTTCACAGAGAAAGGACACTTCATCCCCAAACCCAGGGCCCCGTCATCTCCCAAGGGAGAGAGAAAGGCATTGTACACAGGGCCTCATCTGTCACTCTCGTTATTCCTGGAGACCAGGCCCCTCCGGGGCGGCAGCAGCCCCAGAGGGTGTGGGGGAGGTGGATGTGGGGCTGTGTGGGTCTGCAGCCATTTGCGCCCGCTGGCAAGATGAAAGGACGTGCTCAACCTTCACTCTTCACTTGGGAGTCGATGCAATCGGAAGTTTTCTTAGAACTTTCCTTAATGTTGTCTATTTTTGATTCTCAAGAAGGTGGGAAGGTGGAGGTTTATCTGAGCTGCTGTCTGCTGGCATGTGTGTGTTTCTCATGTGTTTATCTGTTATTTATGACTCTCCTGTTTCCAGGTGGCCTCGAGGCAGCTGGGGTCCCTCTGTCTCCTGCCAGCTCTTGCTCAGTGTCCACCCTGGGGACAGGCAGGGGGCTGGGAGGTGGGGGGTGGGATGGAGTCTGTGTGTGAGTGCCGCTGGCTGGGGGGGTCTCTGGGAGGGGGGCACTTACTGAAGAGGTTCACCACCATCGTCTCCTTCCCGTGTTTCACGCTGTGGGTGCAGAATATGGCGAAGTGCTGGGGGTCTACTTTCTCTAAGAAGATCATCTTGTGACTGGAATCTGTGAATCGGGGGTGGGGTGGGACGGGAGGTGAGGGGGTGTGAATTCTCTACCAGGCTAGAACCGGACCCTGGGACCACTCGCATCCCTTCTGACGACTTGCCCCTCGTGACCAGCCGGGCCCCAGGCAGGGGCAGGACTGGGTGCAGACCTCCACCCTTCCCAGACACCTCCGGCAGCCCATCCCCCCCCCCCCCCCCCCCCCGGCAGACAGTACCCTCAGGGGTGCCGTGGCCGGCCGGGGGACACTGTCCTGTGAAGCAGGAGGCTGAGCTCCTGGCCGTACTCCACCCTGAGCTCCCTGGGGGCTCCCCGCTCCAGGCTGGACAGCACTGACCGTTTGTACTTACGGTTCACCGTGTACTGAAACTTCTTTCCTGTTTTATTCGCCGTCATTGTAGTCGGGACACACACACCCTTTACCCTGGGGAGGGATGACAAGCCCCCTTACACCCTGGCGTCCAGAAGGCGTGGCTCGGGCATTCTCCCTGGAGCCCCTCAGTGGGACTGGTGGGGCTTGGCCACACTGGACCTCAGACACTTGTGTCCTTGCCCTGCCCCACATCGCCTCTGGCCTTCAGTGTCCCCTCTTACCCTCCAACACCTGAGTACAAGGCTGCGAGGTGGGCAAGGGGTGGGGGCGTGGGGGGCTCACCTGGGCCTCGGCCCCGTGGGGCGCCCTCTTCCCAAACTTACTTTCTGTGGACGTGCAACTGCAGGCTCTTAGGGGTCACCTGGATGTTGTGGATGAAGAACTTCATGTCCGTATCCTTTGTTATGAATTTTGGTTCGTTGGAGGCCATTGCTACTGAGAACCATTTGCCCTTGACCTGCCAAGCAGAGGTGGGTGTGCTGGTTCAGGTGAGGGCGCAGCTGGGGGCTGGGGGGGCGCCCTGTCCTGTCCCCACTTGCCCCTGCCCCCAGCCACCTTCTCCTCCCTCTCAGATGCCTGAGGCTGATACCAGCTTCTCGTCGAAGTTGGGGTCCCCAGGGCCCTTGTGCAGGGCCTGGAGGCCGCCAAGCAGAGTCAGCCCCACGGCCAGCAGCAGGAGGCTCATGGTCAGGCAGGAGTGGCCGAAGGAGACCAGTGGCGCCTCAGACAAGGGTCCAGAGCCTGTGGTGGTGGCTCTTTTGTTCCCGGCCAGGAGAGGGTTCCTGGCCACGTGGCGGGCTGTCACTGGTCCCCTCCCGTTGGCCACAATTACCCTCTATTTGTTGAGGCTGCGGCTAACAATGGACACTTTGCGACTGGTCCACAAACCCCCTGCCCATCCGTGTTGGCAGTCATGCTGTTTCCAAGAACAACAGGCTGCGCCCGCCTGGGCTGGCGTCCAGGATCCTCGTGTTCCCACCGGTAATTGAGTCACGAGCTCCTTGCTGACGTGGCAGACCTTGCGGCCTTGAGGTCTCTGGATGGCCACCAAACGTTTGTGTGGCTTGGATGTGGTGTTCCGGGACTCAGCAGGTGGTCCCAGGGGAGCCGGAGCACTCGATGCCGCACTGGGGGCCACCAGCCCTGGTTTTAGGGACCCTGTCTGCTCTGTGAAACAGGCTTGGGCCACACTGCCGGGCCCCCTCAGGGCACTGCCCACCTGGGCAGAGCAAGGCGAGGCCTCGGTCCTGGGAGGGAGGGCCGGGAGCCAGGTGTGCCCCCAGCTCAGCTCTGGTCTGCTGGGTGACTGGAACTGGCTTTATTCTGAACTCCTTGAGCTGCACAGAGACCCGCAGGGCCAACGGGCACAGAGCAGGCAGGCGCTCCACAGCCAGCCCCACCCCACGGGCCTGTGTCCCTAGGTTCTCTGAGCCTCAGCGTTCTCTTCTTGAAAGTGGCTGTGAGGACTCTACGCCTGCCGCCCCGTTTCTAGACTCCTTGAAGGTGCTCATGTGGGGTCCCCCATCTCCAGCTCCCTCTGGCCTCCACCGAAGCTGCGGCCTTGTCCCGTTCACTAGGCTGTTGTCTTCCCTCCCCTCTCCCTCCCCCTGCAGTACCTTCTCATTGAAGCCGCTGCACCTGATACAAAACCCCACAAGCATAGTTACGAGAAAGGACATTACACGTCACACTCACCTGGGAATGTAGGCCCAAGAACCCCAAATAAACCTGATACAACGAATCCAGCAACATATGAGAAGGATGATCCATTACAACCTAGTGGGGCTAAATCCAGAAATGCAAGGTTGGCTCAGCAATTGTGAATCCATCAGTGCATTTGATCACATTAATAAGTGGAGGAAAAATCCTGGGGTCGTCACTGTAGTTGCAGAAAAGGTGTTGGATAACATTCAGCAACTATTTATGATAAAAACTCACAGCACTCTAGAAATAAAAGGGAACTTTCTTCATCTGATTAGGGGGACTACAAAATACATAGAACACCATCCTACCTCACGGTGAGGCATCAACACCTTGCTAGCCGGATCGAGAACATGGTCAGGGGGCCACTGCCACCACTGCCCTTGAACGTGGCGCTGGTCCTTCCAGGGAGGGAGGGAGAAGTGAAAGCCGGAAGGATTTGCAAGGAAGTGATGAACCTGAGGTGTTTGTAGATGATATGATTGTGTGTAAAGAGTATCCAAGATAACCTGCAGATGAATGATTCAGATGAATACGTGAGTTTAGGAAGGTGATCTTAGGAAGGATTTATAGACAGAAATAAACTCATTCTATATGTGAGCAATGCATAATTAGAAAATGAAATTTAGAGAGACTTTATTTGCAATTCAGTAAAAAAAAAAAGTAACTAGGAATAAATCCAACAAAAAATTGTGCAGCCTTCTGCACAGAAAACTATAAACTAGTATTGAGAAATTAAGACAAACTAAACTTCGTATGCCATGTACATGGATTAGTAGTCTCAATACTATAAAAATGTCCATTCTTTCCCTAAGATCAATAGGATCCTGATCCAATTCCAACAGGGTCCCAATTCCAATAGTATATGTGTCTTGTGGAACTTTACAAGCTGATTCTAAAACACGTGAAGATGCTGAGACTTAAAAATGACCAAGACACTCCTGAAGTTCAGTTTGGAAGATTTGCTCTGCCAGACTTCTGTTCTTATTGTAAAGCTTTAGTAATGAAGCCAGGGTGGCGTCGGTGCAAAGCTGAGAAAGAAATGAACGGAAGGACAGGAGAGGGTGGAAACAGACCCTCCCGTGCACAGGCACTTTTCACGGTGAAGATGGCTCTGCAGAGAAATGGGCTAAAGGACAGTCCTTTTAGTACCCGGTGCTGGGTCAGTACCCAGGATGCAAGTGAACCTGGCCCCTTCCCTTACACCAAACACAGAGATCCACTCCAGCAGTGTCTGACTTGAATTGTGCCCCACCGAGTGCTGGGCTGAAGTTCCAACCCCCAGGACCTCAGGATGTGACCTTGTTTGGAGGTAGGGCCTTTGCAGATTTAATCAAGTTAAGATGAGGTCATTAGGGTGGGCCAATCCAATATGACTGGTGTCCTTTTATAAAGGGGATTTGGACACAGATACGCATGGGGAAGATGTGAAGATGGCCAAGCGACCGCAGAGCAGAGGTTGGAGGGGTGTGGCCACAAGCCAGGGGTTGCCGGCAGCCCCCAGCAGCCTCCGGAGGGAGTGCGGCCCTGCCACACCTAGACCGGGGACTTCTGGCCTCCAGAACGGGGGGTGGGG